AGCACAGAGGTTTCCTGAACAGGAGGCCACACCTTGGCCATCACACTCAATAGAAAATGATTAATCCATCATGCATGAATTTTCTAACACCTTCTTGTACATACATGTACCTCCAGCTCCCACAACACACAGTGGCAGCGAATAGAAACATTCTGTATTTATTTATCCTTCCCTTTTCATTGTCTTACAGACCTTTCTTGTCATAGAGTCATAAAATCACAGAATCACAGAATCATAGAATCATAGAATGGTTTGGGTTGGAAGGGACCTCAAGGATGATGAAGCTCCAACCCCCCCCACCGCAGGCAGGGCCACCAACCTCCACATTTCATGGCAGCCCAGGCTGCCCAGGGCCCCATCCAACCTGGCCTTGAACACCTCCAGGGATGGACGGGGCATCCACAGCCTCTCTGGGCAGCTGTTCCAGCACCTCACCACTCTCATAGTACTATATATATACATATATATATACATATATCCTGTATTGCTTTTTTGTCACTTCTGAGGGTTGAGGAGCCATTGGGTAATAATCCACTTCTTCAGGATCTATTCCATGCCCCCAACCCACTGCCACGCTGCTGTGGGGCAGCCCAGGGGGAGAACCATTAGATTAGCTCTGACAAGCCTTGGTCTGGCAGGCACAGAAATAGGGGTTAAGAGTTATTTCCACCTTGCAGCTGAGGTGGTAAAGATAAATTTATTGCCATGAGACGTTTAGATATAACAGGCTGCTGGGACATCGGAGGGGATATCTGCTAATCTGTCTGTGTTTGGTTTTGTAATATTGAGTTTGTTTTTATTGTTCAACACATTATGATTTTAATTAAACATTTCGTGTCTCGCTGGTTATGGAAGGAGGACAGCCAACATCGTTTCACCTCTGTTATTCCCCTGGAGAGATGCTGCAAGCATGCCTCTTGCAAAATTTATTATTATTTGCATTACAGATCCATTCTCACAATAAAAATGGCGAGTATTGCCAGTGTGCAGCAGCATTGCCAGGCATAAATCACAGGGAGCCATAAACACGTCGCCCAATAAACCATCAGGAAAAAAAACCGTGCCTGCCGGGAGAGCATCATAAATGGGAAAGATCATTTACTTCACACACTATTTTCACCCGTCAGCCTCACGCTGTTTGCGCACAGGGAGTTGGGCTCCGGCGGCTCCGATTGATTGGTTGCAAGGCCAGGACAGGCCAGTCCTTATAAACCCTGCCCTCCCCACGCCACGACCTGGGCTGTTCCCCTCTGCATCCAGGCTCATAAACCCGGCTCATAAGGAACCCAGGCTCATAAGGATCCCAGGCCCACACTGCAGCGCCTGGTGAGTACCTGAGCAATGAGTAACCTCTCGGCCACGCACACTTGTGCTCCTGCTCATCCCAGCGTTGCATTTTGGGTGGACGCTGGGGCGGGTGGGGTTGCACATCCCAGTGCTGCTGGGGATGTGAACGCTGCTCGGGGCTGGCAGCGCTGGGTGGGATGGGTGAGGGCTGTGATGCTGCTGTGCTGCGGGCTTTGTGCACGAACCAGGCTGTGCTCCTGCTGTCTGTGGCCTGGCACAGCCAGTGGGAATGGCACATCCCTGTTCTTGCCTTGAAAGCCAACAGGGCTTGGGCTTTGTGGGTGCTGTGTCCCCAGAGTTAATCTGCATCACTTCACAGAGGGGCTGAGCCCCCTCTTGGATGCTTGGATGCAGTTGTGGAAATAACAAAGTGTGCTCTTGGGGAAAAAAAACACAGAGGTGTTGGGCTCACCCTTCCCCTGCACTTGCCTACACTGAGCTGCCCCTAAAGCACCAGCACTTTGCTGAAGCTACTGGCAAAAACTGAGGTCAGAGACAGGCAATGGGGTGGCCTGTGAGGGGTGGAGAGGGGGGCAGAGCAGCACAGCTGGTGTGTGCCCTCCAGCAGGCATCTGCATGCCCACCAATCCTGCATGCATGCCTACCCTGTGCTCTGGGATGCTGAGCAGAAGCACAGCCCTACATTGCAGTGCCACATCCTTCTGGGCCGGCCAGAAGCACTGCTCAGCTGCTGCCATTAACCTTTCAATTCATGCCCTGTAAGTGGGTGTTGATTTCCTCATCGGGGCTCACCAGAGCTGTAAGTGCTGTCCCACGATTTTCAGCTGGGTCATGGATGTATACCTCTGTGTTATGGTATATATACAAGTACAATATAAGTATTATATATATAAATGTACAAAACATAGATGTGTGCTTATGTATTTTATATATTCTAAGCATTCTGTACATTTTTGTATACATATTTATGTTATTTTTGTACATACACAAGTGAAACATGGAGGGAAAAAACAGCCTGAAAGGAGATCACTCTCTATAACCCATAGGATCACACCATAAATCAGAACAGCTCAGCAGCCAGGAAAGTCCTTTCTTTTGGTGTGTGTAGCATGGCAGGAGTTTCCAGTGTCTGACAAAGCCAGTTTTGCACAAAGGCTTTCCCGTAGAAGGAGAATCCCAGACAAATCACAGTTTGCTCATGCCCAGTCCTTTCCCAGTGGACGCTAACAGTCTTTTGTTTTATCCACTTCCATATTTCTGGAAAGCAGTTGAATCCCAATATCTCTGAGAGTCCTGGATGTCTGCCAGAGGCTGCCGGAAGGGAGACAGGCAGACAGGCACCAATGCCTGCACACAGTTGCTTCTTTTCCCCCATTCTCCAGGTGAGTCTGGACGGCAGCAGATTAATTCTCACTTATCAAATGCTGTGGCATAAGCAGAAAGGGACGGCTCTCGTCTTAGAGAGCACCAAGCTGTCAGCTGGGACCCGAGGTCCCTCTGCACCTCTTCCTTTGGCAGCATCAGCCACTGTCCATGCAATAGGGAAAGTACAGCTGCCCTTTGCTGGACGTGGCCAAAGCTGCCCCTTGCACTGCCAGGGTCCTCCTGAATCATAGGATCACAGAGCGGCGTAGGTTGGAAGAGGCTTTGAAGATGATCCATCTCCAACCCCCCTGCCGAGGATGAAGCATGGCTCTGCCTTCTTCCTGAACACGGGGCTGCCTGCTGACCAAGGCAAGTCATGGGGATGTGTGGCTGAAAAGAAAACCAAGTTGGGCCTCCTGGGGGAAAGGAAATGACTTTGGGGCTCTTCCTCACTTCCCATCGGTTACATGTCGCTTTGGCTCCAGAACAGGAAGATGTTTGTCCTTGCTAAGCTTTGGGTTTTATTGCCACAGTTGCAAGCAGGCTGAGAGTTTAATGGAGCTAAATCATATTAGGAACATAATAGATACATCATGGAGGATATGTGTGTTTATTCAAAAATGAACTGCATTGCAGTAAACCCTCTTGCTCATAATTCAGGCACTTTTTGACCTGCTTACTTTGTACCCTACAGAAAGTACATTAAGACTGTAGCCACAAATATTTATGTTCATTAATCAGCTCTTGTTTTCCACCTCCACGGTTTTTCCTCATCCACACCAACAGTCTTTCAGTCACAGAAGGCACAGAGAGAGCTCAGGAGCATCATTAGCTTCTCCAGCATCTTCGGGTGCATTGTCTCTCATGCAGTATGGATAGTGCTGAGACCAGCCCCATTGCTAAAGCAGTTCCCTGCAATAGGTTGCACAGGTGGCCATCTAGATGGGTCTGGAATATGTCCATAGAATAGACTCCACCACCTCTCTGGACAGCCTGTGCCAGAGCTCCATCACCCTTACCATAAAGAAAATCTTCTGCATGTTAGTACAGAGCTTCCTATGTTCCAGTTTTATGCCATTACTGCTTGTCCTATTGCTACACACCACCAAGAAGAGCCTGGCCTCATCCATTTGCCTCCCACCTCCCTTCAGATATTTATAAACACTGGTTGGATCCCCTCTCAGTCTTCTTTTCCCCAGGCTGAACAGACCCAGGTCTCTCAGCCTTTTCTCATACAGGAGATGCTCCAGGCCCTGTATCATCTCTGTAACTTTCCATCAGCTTCTCTCTAGAGGATCACCATCATCTAAACTGGAGAGCCAGCACTGCACACACTATTCTAAATGTGACCTCACTGGGGCAGAGCAGAGGGAAGGATCCCCTCCCTCACCCTGCTGGCCACACTCTGCAATGCACCCCAGGATCCCATTGGCCTTTTTGGCCACAGGGCTCACTGCTGGCTCATGGTTCCCTGCTGGCTCATGGTTACCCCCAGGTCCTTCTCCACAGAGCTCCTCTCTAGCAGCTCAGCACTGACCAGTACTGATGCTGTGGTTCTTCCTCCCCAGGCACAAGAATCTACACTTCCTCTCATTAAACCTGCCTGCCCAGCTCTCCAGCCTGTCCAGGTCTTGTTGAATGGCAGCACAGCCTTCAGGTGTGTCAGCCAAACCTCCCAGCTTTGTACCATCAGCAAACCTGCCTGGGAGGGGAATCCATCCCTTCATCCAGGGCATTGATGGAGATGTTAAACAAATATTTGATGCTTATTTATTGTCCTTCAACAAAGCAGCTGTGTCTGACCAACCAAACTTCTATTAGTGTTTCTCATCTGTTTCCAATGTTGAAGTCTTCACTGAGACATCGGAGTGTGATTTTTCCCATCCTCAGGTCCTTCCATCTCCAGTTAGCACCAAACATAAATCAGTTTCTCAACAGCTTAGTCTTGGTTGGGATGACTATGAAAAAGCATTTACTCAAAAGAGCAACTCAGCCTGTGGAAACTGTGGACAAAAAACAGTAGTTGCACTCACCAGGAATGTTTTAACTTTAATATTCAGTAAAAATACATGTATTTTTTAAGAAAAGTGGATTCTTTTTTAAAATAATTTTACAGTTTAATGGTCAGCTAAGAGTGTAGTTATATGCAACACTTACCTTAATCATGACAGTGTCCTAAGTGACACTTAGAGGCATCTGCATAGTGGGGAGGTGGAAGAATGTGGGGCTTGTCATTACACAGTTCTCTATGCAGTGGAGAATCCAACTATGTGGAGTTTCTGTTGTTGATTTGTTTTAGGTATAGGTCATGTGAGATCTGAGCTGGAATGGAGCATGACTCACATACCACGTGGGAATTCAATGGCTCCTTCTATCAGCCTTCAGCTTTCCTCATGATGGGTATCCCAGGCCTGGAAGCCTTTCATCACTGGATCTCCATCCCTTTTTGTGTACTCTACCTTATTGCTCTCTTGGGAAATTGCATGATCCTATTCGTCATAAGGAAGACCCAAAGTCTTCACGAACCCATGTACTACTTCCTGTCCATGCTAGCAGTCACTGACCTGGGGCTGGTTTTAAGTACACTGCCTACCACTCTGGGCATTTTTTGGTTTAATATCCGAAGGATTGGTTTTGATGCTTGTCTCACTCAGATGTATTTCATTCACATACTGTCCTTCATTGAATCCTCCGTGCTCCTGGCAATGGCGTTTGATCGCTTCATTGCCATCTCCCATCCACTTAGATACCCATCCATACTGACCAAGACGACTGTCACAAAGATAGGTCTGACAATCATATTGAGAGGCACGGTCTCCCTTCTTCCAATACCCTTCTTGCTCAAGAGGTTAACCTACTGTGGGAAGACTGAGCTTTCTCATTCTTTTTGCTTCCATCCTGATATCATGAACCTAGCGTGTGCAGATATAAAAGTCAATATCTTCTATGGTATGATTGCTTTGTTTTCAACGGTAGGGATGGACTTTATCTGCATTGTGCTGTCCTACATCCTCATCATTAAAACTGTTATCAGCCTTGCAACTAAGGAGGAGTGTCTCAAGGCTTTGAATACATGCGTCTCCCACATCTGTGCTGTCCTAATATTCTTCATCCCAATGATTGGACTGTCCATGATTCATCGTTTTGGAAAGAACTTCCCTCCTCTGGTTAGCACTTTGGTGGCCTACACCTACCTTATAATCCCACCTGCTCTCAACCCCATTATCTACAGCATAAAATCCAGCCACATCCGTGAGGCTTTGTTCAGGGCACTGAGGAGGAAGTGTGAACCTGAGTGGTAGTTTCTGCCACCAGTTCTGCCAGAAAATGCTGGTGGACTTTTTTTGTGGTCAGAACTAATGGACTGGTTTCTTAGTGCTGTACCCATGGGTGTCACTGCCAGGCAAAGGAACTGCTCATCCCTCAACCCAGAGCTGTGATCTTTCCTATTTCATCCTAGCACGATGCTTGGTCCTTTCCAACAGCCTGCACACCCCCAGGTGTGGAAGCCACACTTTTGGGGAAACAAATACAGAAAAACGAGCTTCTCCTTTTGAGTTACACAATGCAGTGAAGCAAGGAACTTCTGCAATGTATTTTATGGCACCTAGCAGCCAGATAATATGTTAGCTTCACCTGGGCTCCCTTGCATGGGATCATTGCTCCCTCACTACATGTTGCTGTATAACTAACCAAGACCACAAACTCTGCAGGACAGGAAGAGGCCAAAAGAGTTCTGAAATCACTCTGGATATCACAGTGAGTAATTTTGTTCAACTGGAAACACCCCACAAGATGGAGATCATTTCCAGAGGTTGAGCACAGAGCGTTTTTGGAAGATCACATCATTTTAAGTGAACCCACAATACTTGGTTCACCTAACAAATGGCTCAGCCTTAGTCTTCATCTGTATTTCTAAACTGCCAAACACTTTTACAGTGCTGTTTCTGCACCTCCTCTTGCTTTCTTTGAGCCTTACTATCCTACCAAGTCTAATGTTCAAGCCATTGTTTTTTTGTATTGAATGTAAAGTATGTCTACCATGTATTCAAATAAAATACACGTATCATTGGAAAAAAAAAAAAAAAAAAAGACGACAAAGCCTTTTTTTTCCTATTTATCTAATAGGTTGGAGTTGTTTAAAATCTTCAAGATGTGCTGTATGTGAGTACAGTACTGTATGAGTTAGGTATGCATCAGGATGGTGCTTGGGGGTCAGGTGTGGATAGCTCTCTTACTGATGAGGTTTCAAATCTGAAATAGGAGTGGCTAATCTTCCTGACATTACTGACTATGTACTACAAGCTTCCAGTTAAGACCCACCAGGCACCAAAAGTCCCCTTCAGAAGGATGGGAAATGGAGATCTCCAGGGTCGGTCAGGTCACACACAGATGTGGCAGTGTCTGCAAGCATCTTCTTGCTCTTCACCGAGATGGATCTCAACCAGGCAAGCAGAAGGGTTTCACCACCCTCGTCTTGCTTTGTCCCACACACAGAATGAAACTGCCCCAAATCGTTCACACCTCCTGTGTTGCATTTTCATTGGTTTTAAGCCACATTTGGGGCAGACTGAGCCTTTGTGCAAAGAAGGAATTGTCATCATTTACCCTATGAGGGCGAAGAAGCAGAGGGTATTGGGACAGCACTGCATACCAGAACTGGGCTGTTGCTAAGCTTCTCCCACTTCAGACTAACCCAGAATTAGTGTCTTTTTCTTTTTTTGGTCTATTCATATCTGCACTTCTAATAAAGACAGAAAAGAATAATGAGAGTACTTCTCCATAAGAAAATGGAAAGGGAGAAGGGATGATTCCCAAGGGGAGGACTCCCAGGACACTCTTTGCATTGTGTTGTGCTAGTTATTTTGCAGTGTCCCCCCGGGCCCTCACAGAGGGTGGAACACTGTTCAGCAGAACACAAGAACTTCTGTCCAAACAGTAGGCACAGCAGCTCCTGCTTGCATTGAGCAGCAGCTGGTGGGAGCTCTTTGCTCAGAATACCTACGGTCCAGCCTGGTGCTGGCAGCCAGCTGCTATCAGAGGAGTAGGAGAACAAGTAAATCTTTTGGCAGGAAAACCTAAAAAAGAGCTTTGCTTGGAGATGCTCAGCTTGTTGGATCCTCACACACCACTGCTCCCTGATTGAAAATTTGCAGACTGTTCTCAGAAGCAACAAAAGCCAGAGGAGCCTGCACTCCAGCAAGGACACATGCATTCAGATGGTGGTAATGAGACAGAGGTAATGCACAGGGTATGTATTAGTGCAGCTGGAAACCATGCCGGAGTGAGGATGCAGTGCATTTGATGCGCCTCCATCACCCAGTTCAGCAGAGCTTCATCTGCCTCCACATTTCCTTCCCAAATGGAGTAGCTGGAGGGCACCAGGCAGGTGTTCAGGATCTGAGAACCGCTGTAAGGTACTGTCCATTAGGAACACACGTTCACAGATCTTAGTGGCTGGTTCTGGGAATGGGAAAAATAATTGTGGTTTAACATCTGTGTGAGTGAAAAAAAAAGATAGACGAGCCACTTAAACCTGCCAATTCCTATTCTGTGACACTCTGAGCTCTGCACTTTGTACCATGGGATCACATACAATACTTGCTGTTGGATTTATTTCCTATGAATCAAGAGGGCAGTGTGAGACACGTCACAGGCATGGCTTAATGAGGAAAGGAGAGGAGATGGAGGAGGAGCAGGAGAACAGGATGGAAAAAAGAAGGAGTGGAAAGGGAGGAGGAAACATACAGCCAGTGTGGCTTTGTAGAATCTAAAGGAAAAAAATCTCAGATGAAAAATTCTGATTAGCTCCAGTAACAGAAGAAGACAGCACTGAGCACTATGACAATATCAGCCCATTCCCTAGAAGTGCCCAGGTTTTGAAATCTGAACATAAAGGCTTCAAAACCCTTGGGAGACACTGTACCAGAAGTGAAGAGGTCCAGAAAATGGAACACATTCCCTTCTCACTGCTGCATGGGATGGGAAAAGCAGAGGGGACTGCTCAGTGGTGAAGGCTCTTCCACCACTTGCTTTATTCTTGGGAGTTCACTCCATGGGACAAATCTGGTCAATATTTATGAGTCTTTTCTGAGATCAGCCACAGTGGTTGCTGTTAGTGGTCCTCTGGTTGGGATGGCTTCTCTGTCTGCATGTGCTCAGCTCTTGCCAAATGCAGCCAATGGGGCTTGCTGGTGCAAGGATCAGCCAGGGAAAACAAATCTGCACTCCGTGGTGTTTTATTGAAGGTATGGACCCAGTTCTCTGCTCTGCATAAAGCAAGCTCCTTCTATGGATGGTGTTCATCACGCTAGCAATCCAAAGCCATTAGTCATTTCTGAAAATGTTGGTGCATTCCTCAGTGTCGAAGGACTAAAGATCAACTAAAACATCCAGGGAGTGTTGACTTGTTGTGAATGTCTCTCCCAGTTGCATTTTCTCAAAAGAAATGAATGGGATGGCAGAGTTTTAGCAATGAGAATCATGCTGTCCTTACACTTCAGTGGGTGGCAGGTAAGTTGACTCAGACACTTGCTGGCAGTTACTGAAGGGTTTTGTGCATTCCACTTGCATCTTGGTGTAAGTGGTTTGCTGCAAATGTCCTTGCTAGAATAGCTTTCAAACAACTTGATACCAACAGTCTGCCTACCGTGTTTGTAAATTGTGTATAAAAAGCTAGCATATGAGTTTTATTTATCATAGAGTCAGGATGGAATAACCTTCCATCAGGGAAATAAGCTATGATTGCTATTTTAGGATGAGTGCTTCACCACAGATGTGCAGTAAAAACAGAGTTTTTTGCAAACAAATGCTACTTTTAGAATCATTTGGACTAATAACCTGCAGTAAAAACATGCCGCATCCCTGTTTTACATGGAATTTGTTGTCAGAAAGCTCAGCAATGCTGCACACAGCCTTGCTGTGGGAGTCAGACAGGCCTGCATCTCTGTTCAAGCCCGCCCAGATTGCCCCAGGCAGCTGGGGCTGTACACCTATGTGGTGGTAACACTGATGTTGTTTCAGGAATTGGAGCTTCTTCCCAACACCTTTAAATCCCAGTATTTTTAAAAATCTGATCCATGTGAACAGAAGGGCAGCTTAAAGCATATGTTTCTGACAGGGCATACGGGAAAAGCTCAAGCAGAATTGGAGTTGTGCAGAGCAATAAAAATCTGTTTTATTTGATTTTGCCCTTGCAGCGGAGGACGTGCCACAGCATAGCATGACCGCTCTTCACTCTGCATGCCATGCCCTTCCCCAACAGCTCTGACCTCAGCCCATCCTCCTTCATCTTGGCCAGTATCCCAGGGCTGGAGGGTGCCCATTTCTGGATGGCGATCCCTTTGTGCTCCATGTACATCATGGCTGTAGCAGGCAACTGCATGGTGCTGTTCATCGTCAAGACGGAGCCCAGCCTGCACGTTCCCATGTACTTCTTCCTCTGCATGCTGGCTGCCATCGACCTGGCCTTGTCCACCTCCACAGTGCCACGTGTCCTCTCCTTCTACTGGTTCGACACCAGGGAGATCAGCTTTGGAGCCTGCCTTGTCCAGATGTTCTTCATACACACGCTCTCAGCCATCGAGTCCACCATCCTCCTGGCCATGGCGGTGGACCGCTATGTGGCCATCTGCCACCCGCTGAGACATGCTGCCATCCTCACCAATGCCACGACAGCAAAAATAGGGCTGGCAGCCATGGTCAGAGGAGTTCTCTTCTTCCTGCCTTTGCCTTTGCTCCTCCTGCCTCTTCCCTTCTGCAGCTCACGGGTGCTGTCGCACTCCTTCTGCCTGCATCAGGATGTGATGAACCTGGCCTGCGCCAACACCACCCCCAGCGTGGTGTATGGCCTCACCGCCATCCTGCTGGTCATGGGGCTGGATGCCCTCCTCATCTGCATCTCCTACCTCCTGATCCTCAAGGCTGTCTTGCGGCTGGCATCATGGAAGGAGAGGCTCAAGGTGTTCAGCACCTGCATTGCCCATATCTGCGTGGTCTTGGCCTTCTACGTGCCACTGATCGGGCTGTCCGTGGTGCACCGGTTTGGGAAGGATCTGGCCCCGCTCGTCCATATCATCATGGGGAACATCTACATCCTCGTGCCAGCTGTGCTCAACCCCATCATCTACGGGGTGAGGACTAAACAGATACAGAGGAGGATCCTAAATTTCATTCACATGCACAACAACAGAACTGCCCAGTGACTTGTGCTTGGATGTTGTGTCCTCTTTCCTCTCATTGTCTCAACTTGTTTTACACTCAGAGTCCTTGGAGCTGGGGCTGTCCTCTGTGCAGCACTCAG